TCGAAAAATGATGCCACAATATAGTAGGATATCAAATTGTAATATCAAAAGTACTACAAAAAAATAGTTTTTAATATTAAACAAAAACACTCAGTATGGAGCAACTCATACATCAATATGGAGCAACATTTTATCTAAGCGACAGGAATCTACAGTCCAATTATTAAAGAATCATAGGAGGCTAGCCAATTTTAGGAGCGACTAACTTAAACAAGATATGCTTTTTTAAATAAACTGAAGTTAAGATTTAAGGATCGAAAATCGGGCCCTCATACTCAAAATGTTCTTTTATGAGCTCTGTTATCTTCGGTGATAGTGTTGCAGATATTAAATTCCCTACGGAATTTCAACAAATTCAAAAATAAAAAACGTTAAAGACCCTAATCCTAACCGAATAAGCCGGGTATATTGAGATTATATTGCACACTCCGATACTTAATTGTAATAAGTGAACCTTAATAAACCATAAAGTGGACACTAAAAGTCTTTTATAGGACGACTTTTAATTTTACGGGCTTTTTATTCCGCGTTGGGAGAACTTAAAATAATTATACGACTTTTTAAGTTTCGTAGAATTTACGATCGCCGTGACCTAGAAAACCGAATTTATGCAACGTGAAAAAAAAAGCAACAATAAAAAAACAATTACGTTTGCGTCGCGCGAGGCGGGCAAAAAGTGGGGTCTGGTAATTTCACAACGCCCCGAGGTTATAATACGATATTTGTCCCAAAAACGACGCCGTTCACCGAAATCATATTTTACGACGATTTGACTCCGAACTTGACCTTCTGCGGTTTCCCGTTAAAAAAAAGACATTGTAATTAATGGATTGTTAAATGGAATTAGCGATTCCGTAATCGGTTAGAGCTCGGCGTTAATCGGAGATACGTCGTAAACTGGATGCAAATTAGACATATGTCGTCGCATTCATTTCCACAGTTTCAATTTTGAGGACAGGTTGTCCGACAGTAGGTGACGGACTGACCGAGTACTTCTTTTCGTTTTAAGTATATGGTGGATTGTTTCAGAAAAATGCGTTCCATTTCAAAATTTATTGAAAATTCTAAGAAATTCTTGCCATATTAATAGCGTGTGTCATTGCTGCCTTTTCTAACTGCCAACTAAGTAATTATTTTGAATTAATTTATATGACAAGAAAAAGTATCTGCACAAATAAATACTTTTGAACGTGGAAAATCGGTATTTAGAGTATTTTTGGCACAGAATGTACAATAAATGAATCAGTTTTTTTTATTTTATTATCATAAAAGGTAACTATTGTGTGGCAAAATGGCCAAATACTTCTTCGAGACGAGAAATGATACAAGACTGGTCAAGTCCAGCAAATTAATGCTATTCTACTCAACCAGGCATGTACCCCTAGCGCTACACAAACCAAAAGAGGAATAGTACATATAATTATAATTGAAAATAACCATATAATAAACGTAAAGTTGTAAGTGATACTTACGAAAGCGTTCAAAGGCCACCAAAAATAGATATACGTTTTAGTTTAATTCGGCAAATTTTCAAAATAAGTGAACAGAAACAAATCAGAATCTCTGAAAAACAAAAAAAAAATGTCAGAATTTCTGAGAAATAACAATATTACGAACCAAAACATCAGATTCTTAGTTAAGTAAGAAATTCTAACTTGTTTCTCAGAAATTCTTACTCTTTTTTTAGACATTCTGACTTATCTCTGACTTATTTCTCAACAATTAAGTCAGAATGACTGAGAAACAAAGCGGAATGTCTGACTTAAGTCAGAATTTCTAGGAAAAAGAGTCAGAAATTCTGAAAGACAAGTCATAAGTCTCTCGTAAGGGCCAAAACGAATCGATATATCAGATTCTAAGTTAAGTAAGAAGTGCTGACTTGTTTCTCAGAAATTTTCTTTCCTTTTTTCTTAGATATTCTGACATATCTGATTTATTTCTCAAAAAATTGCCTAATTAAACTGAAAAGTATAGGCTTTCAGATACTTTATACCGGAAACACATTTGAATTGCGATTACGAGTACTTAAAATTTTATAGAAAAAGTTACACATACGGCGTTTCCGTCTATTGCACCATATTTAAATTTAAATATAATTTTTTTTAATGACAATAGTGAATATAAAAATATGCTACAGTTTTAGCAATATAATATATATGGTGTTTGAATTTTCCTAATAAAAAACGCTATAATTGTCGTAACATCTATTGCGAAAAATAACCATTAACCTCCGTACTTTTTGTAAAGTTTGGGATTCGGTGACATTGTATTTGCATTGGTACTTTCGGGAAAATGTCTATAATATTGGCTATGTCTATAAGGTGTTAAAAATACGATCATAATAAGTCAAAAATTTCATTTAAACCTATAGTTTCGGAAATGACTACTAGTCGAAAAAAAAGTAAAAAATGACACGGGACATGTAGTGAGTAAAAAAAAAATATATTTTTGGTTTCTTAATTTTTATCAGCGCATACATTAATTAAAATATTGGCTACTTGAAAGCAATGTAAAAGCCCTGTCTATACAGAAAATAAGACATGGTGCATGTTCATCAGTATTTTCTCATAATTTCTAATATGTTTAGCAGATACTGGTTGTTATGTAAGAATTTGCGAAATACCACCCTATTTTTATATTGATCAGTGCCAATTTTTATTTGTTTTTCGGCAGCTGACACGAAACAAGGAAAAAGACAAAAAGTATGAAATATTACAAGCAGCTAAGAGGTTTCTATATGTTTTGACTGATAAATTTGCCCTTAAAATGTTTGGACTATTTAAAACGAGAAACATTTAATAGCTCTTTATTTTACAATCCTGATGATGTCGTGGGAATCTAAATACATTTTGACCAAACTGATTCGGTTCAAAATGCAAAAAAGGCCATAGAACTGTCTCGAGTTGTCTCAAATCAAAAATTGTAAGAATTTTCTGTGCACTTTAATGCACGTCACTAATTGGGAGTCGTGGTTTTTCCATCGTGACCCTTATTTCGGCACGATCGCGTTCTACAAAAACTATTAGCCGAAAAAGAAAATGAATTTAAACCGAGATCGTGAGAGAATAAAGCAATGCGCCCGACTCCAAATTAGTCCCGTACAGGTTTTATATACCTTTCGTTATTTAATGAACCCACTGTCCTGTAATTACGCTTCATATAATGAAAACGACCGGCCGACAACAGTTATTTTTGCGGTCGGCATTGACATTGTGCGCTTTTTTTTATGTCACCGTGTTCGGAGGATTTGACTTAATTTATTGTCCTGATAGAGTTGATACGCCGCACGCTGTTCGAATTTGTCATTTTTATTTACCATATTTCAACGGGGAAACGCGTCCGCAGGTTTGCGGCTTGTCAATGACATTGACAGTGATATTTTGGTCAATCGTTTTTCTAGAAACAACCACAATTTTAGATGTGAACAACAGTTCTTGGATTTTCAAGGAGGATAATAAGAAAGACCACACTCATTATATTCTAAAAATCTTGACAAATTTACAAGACATTATAACTTCTTTTCAACGATTTAAATAGTGAAATTCAAAAAGCATTTTTTGTATTCTACAACGTTGCCCAATATGACAAATTTTTAGAACGTTACCCCAAACCACTTCCCAAAAGAAAACTAGAATTAAAAAAAAATAAGTAAATAAATTTTATTTTTTTTTTTCACTCTCTCTCAAGCTATGCCCTGTCATATTTACATTTATGTATGCTATTTTCTCGCTTATTATGTTTTTACAAGTGAGAAAATTAATGACGAAAATTAAGTTGAGGCAAATTATGAATAAAAATAAAAATATTTTATTGCTTTTTTACCAAATTCGAGCGGTGTGCAAAGGGTTCTCTGTTAGTTCTGCTAGTTCTGGGTAGTCTCCATTTTTCTTGTGGAAAGGTTGTATTAATATGGAGTCTATTTATATAAGTGTCTCCAGTATTTCTAAACCATCTATGAAGACTTTCAGGATTTTAAAAAACGCCGTTCCATGGGGATACTCCTTAGTGAGACAATTGTTAATATTTAGGCAAATTTATTCCATAAAATTAGTAAATAATAATAGATTATTTAAAATGATTAAACCTGGTCCAAAATATTAAACCCTCAAACCCCAACAATACAAAAAATTTGGGTTAAATATTCAAGTACTTGATAAATCTTCATATTTATAAGTAACATTAGTTTTCCACACATTTTCTTCGACTCTCTCGAGATATTATTTTCAATTATTACAAAATACTTTATATTATGTGCAATTTGTTAACCAGAAACAAATATAACAACGAAATAACTATAAATAAATGCGATACAAAATAATATCGTAAAATTTAGGACAAGATCGGAGATTCGTAGGTTGTGAAACTCGAATTTCTAAAGCAATTTTTTTGCCCCCAGGAAGCGATCGTTAGAGTAAAAGCTCAATTGTGTTCACTGAAGTCTCGAATGCATTAAATTGTCCGTTAAAACCAAAATGATCTTGCTTGTAAGGTGGAAGATAAAAGTTTTATAAATCACTTTTTTGTCGTTTATCTTCTCTACTTTCAGTTAACTTATTGTAACATAATATATTATGTTAAAATTGTAAAAAATGCAATTTTAGATTTAGTTTTAAGAATGAGATAAAATAACAGCAATAAAGTTTCTTTTGCAAAACGATGACTTTGACTATTTTCATGTAGATGGAATAGATGAATATTGAACAACGAAGACGTGCAACAATTTTTTTTGAATTTCGAACCTTCCCCAATACAATAATATAATCAATAATCAACATTACTATTACTATTATTATTATTATTATATATTAATTATAATTTAATTGTTAAAACTAGAATGAAATTCGTATTTTCCGTATTTGCTTCATTCGAACTTGTTATATAATAAGTGCATCATGTTTAATCGAATTATTTACTGAAAAAACAGATATAAGGCAAATTTAAGGTCAGAAGTTTCAAACTATCGCCTCGCTATTAGTTTTAGTCCTTCTATAACCACTTACCTCCCAGGGTGGTGATTTGCTGTGGTTTGTGCGTGCTGCTCTGTCCCAACGGGTATTTGAAGGGTTTGAAATGAAAAAATGACGGCGAATATCCCGACCCGGTCCTGCTCAGGGAGCTGAACCTGTCCTCCCTGTCCTCGACGTATACACCCTCTTTGCCCATGGCGGCAAGTCGGCGCCCTTTCGCCATGAACATGATCAGAAACACCGTTATTGACATTATCACTAGTCCGTAGGCGATGCAAGCGTCTCTGTGTCTTTCGTTCACTACCAATCCGCTTACCGTCCATATGAGCCACGTGGGTATGCTACACCCTACCGAGAGGCCTATGTAGGTAGCCTCGCGATAATTGTCTCTGATACCGCGCGACTTAACCGCCAAAACGGTCACGAATATTATTAAAAATATAACGTAAATCAGCGAGAGGAGCATGTCTATGTAAGGGGTGCGACATATCGGCACCACCTTAGGGGAAGAAATGTCCGCCACCGTCACCAAAAGTCTGTTCCTATTTGGGGTTAGGATATGCTCGACGGTGATCGTGTCTACTAGCGGGGGACTTGTTACAAGCCACTGCACCCCTATAGCTACCTGAATTAGAATGGCAAACATTAGCAGGAGACCGAGGTAAGGAGCCGTAAGGTACACTCCTCCGTTAAGGCTTATGACGAAAACGCACTTCACCAACAGCGAAGCGAACACTATGGTATAGGCTACCCCGGTGCCGAAACGCGTGAGCGCGCACGTGAACTGAGTCGGCGATGCGGCGAACACCGTAGCCAACCCTGCGCATGCGAACAACCCCAAGAGAAGCATCTGCCCCAAGAACAAGTGTCTTCTGCAGGGGGTCAGTCGCCACGCTTTACACAGCAGGAATATGTCGTAGCCGGTGATAACGATCATCGTTATGGCCGACAGTGCTAAAACCGGAATCACCCAAACTTCGTTCCTGAACACACCCCCGATCCGATCGCCGTGAGTATCCGGCAGGGCGGTTTTGATCACGTGGGTGCCGTGGGTGGTGCTCGAAGGGGTGCTACTGCTCGACGGCACTAGGAAGAATTCGGTGCTCATCTCCAGGCGCCTTCTCAAACTCATGTTTTCGGCGGGAGGCATTTGGGCGTCTTCTTCGAAGGGTGGTCCGCGGTCTAGGTCGCCGGAGCGCGCTTGTCGATCTTCCGCGGAAAGAGACACGACAAGGCATGTCACGACGGTCGCGAGCCGTGCAAAGGTTCGAGCCATACTAACGGCGGCCACGGGGAAGCTGTGCTATCATCTGCGCTAGCGAAGACGTCGTCGTCGCGGCTGGGAAGTGGAAGTGGCATCGACGCACAGTGGTCGGATTTGGTAAAAACACGGTAATAAACCGAAATCTAATTTTATAAATATTGCATCCGAAAGTGCTTTTTTTTCACGCATGATTATCAAAGCTGATTCTAATTAATATGAGTTTTGATTCTGCTTTCTACTCCCTGATTTAAAATAGCCCATTATGAGTAAATCAAGTGTGAGCAAAGTGTCATTTTAATACGCCATCTCACGCTCCCGAGCTACTTCGGACGGCTCCGGTATATTAGCCACGGGTTTCGAGGCGATCGCTTGTTGTCGGTAGTTTTCAGATATGGTATTTTTACATTGTATTGGTGCTGCTTTACAAAAACGTTTCCAAGAACTAATGGACTTATTGATAACCTTTTCAATATCTCGTTTATTATACACTCACTTGCTTTACTCGTGTCAAATCAAACTCGTGATTCAAATGACGTTTAAGTTGTTGTATAATATAATATTACTGTATGTAAATAAATAAATTTAATCGCTCAGAGAAAATCAGCTGAGCTGTTAACCGAGCATGTAACAAGATATATTTACCTTAATTTAGTATACCAATTTTACATTACAAAAATATGCATGTATGTACAGATATAATTCGAGCATAAAATATTACATTCCATAAATAAAAAATTCTTGATTTCCTAGGTATTCTGTACTTGGCTAATCTAACCATATTAATCAACCAGTCTAACAGATGTATACGAGAAGGAGCTTTTAGTCTTGGGTTTCTTAATTTTGGGTATTTCGTAGTGACGGTTCAGTTCCACGGATATGAATGCAATTTTTCGAAGAAACTTCCACAGGTCACTGTAATACTTTTTATAAAACTTCTGGATTCCTCATGCGTCGGTTTTTGTTGAGTAAAAAAAAACTAACCAAAACTGGGTCGCATTTTACTGCGTACCTGCTTATACATCCTTTGAGGGGGACGGAGCTAAATGAGGGGCACCGTGTCAGATGACTGATTCCCATATTGGTGACAGGTAAAGTCGCGGATTTTTCGATGGTAGAAGAATTGAATACATGCAAGAATTTTAGTTTTATCGAATAAAATTTTATGTCCGGTTTCGTGATTGTATTCGGCAACTGTTGATGAGTTTATTTGTCTTAGTCTGAAGGCTCTTTCATGTTCTTTGAGCCTTCGTCCTGTCTCTCCAATATATTATTTGCGCATATGTTTTTTTTTTGATGGATCGAAGATGTTGAGAGATTTTTGGATAAGTGGTAAATCTGGTTTTGACGAACTTTTGACATGTGGTCAGATGTGTTTTGAATGTAAGGAAGAACAACAGTGGCAAGTGTAGGATTGCAGTCGGTCTCTATTGCAAGGACGATTTTTGGACCGGATGGTGATGTGACAATGCAGTAGGTAGGGTATTGGTCTGTGTGCGTAGGTTTTTTGTACTTTGAAAAGCTGTTTCCGAAATTGGAGTTTACTATCAAAGATTAAACTCAAGTTTTTATATTCTTCAACAACTGGATTTTTTTTTCCATTTATAAATATATCTGAGTTTTGAGCGGCCCACCCAAGTATATTAGCTTATTTGGTTTTACTTTCAAGTAATGATTTAACAGCATCAGTCCGGAAAAAACAAATTTTTGTTTGTTTGTTGTTAGCATAAACATGACTGTGGAACTCTGCAAAGCATTTCGACAAAACTATAGTGTAAATAATGAAACCAAGAGGTGCTAATAGCGAGTCTCAAGCGGCCCTGCTAAGTTCTAAGACATTCGATCTAATATTGTGAACCAAAACTATATGAAATCTGTAATCTAGGTAGTTATGAATCAGTTGAATCATCCTAAATTTAAATTCGTAATATTTTAAATTGGCACAGAGCATAGCATGACTAAGGGTAACGAAAGCTTTACTATGATCTCAAAAGACCAAAGCAGTCGTTTCCCCCTTATCCTTGCGAAATTCTGATTGCAATTTAGGTTAACGGTTGTTATTAGTAATTAGATTAATAATTAGATTTTTGTGTAAATCAGTTTTTCAAAGCATGGGTAACAGGCTAATCGGTAGAAGAACTGCGAAAATGTCAGGCTTATTCATTTTTGGTAATGGTAGAATCTCTGCTATCTTCCATTGCGGAAGAAATATTCAGTTTTCTATTCATAGATTAAAAAGTTGAGTAAGAATGAGCAGTCTTATGGGACAATAAAGTTTTACCAATTTTAGTGTAATCCTTCAATGTGACTAAAGTGTCGAAGGTAGCCGAAGTATCGAAAACATCTGAAGCGGTTAACAAATCCGACGTTTTAAAGGTACTCTTTGCGCGCGCCTGATAATTAGGTACTTCAGAGTAGTTAGGACGTAGAAAACAGCAATTTTTAATCTGCTAAACCAAGACTATTTTTTTCGTTTTGGTTCCCGCAACTTGTTAAATAATTATTGCGTATTTAAACTACCGTCAATGGATATTATTTGGCAACAACTTTCAAATTGTGAGCTAATCGTCCATCAGCCATGTGTTGTCTATATATGCCAAGACCTGGCGCCTTAAGAGAGTTTCTAAACGATCTCGAAGATACCGGAAAACATTTGGCTAGTGCTTGAGTTCTCTGTTATTAGTTGTTTTTGTGTGATAATATAAAGGTTCATTTACCATTGACAAAACTACCTCGGAAATAAAAATGCTTTGTCTCGTTAAATATTTAGAAAATGCGAAGATTTAAAAAAATTAAGATAAGTGAAGTTTCGCTAAGTGGGCGGGGCTGGTACTTTACCAAATATCCACAGGACATTACTTTGGCTGATTAAAGCCCGGAGGTTAGTCCCTACTGAATGTAAATAATTGTTGATTAAATTTAATGGCAACATTGATTGCCGCTTTTCGTAACCTTGACCCTGCACCATGGTTCGATAAACTTCCAATCGCAATCCCTTAAACACAGAAACGTAATACCCAATAAAATTTAGTAATAACGATTTTACTTCTTAACTCTCGCTTGATGCCGCGTCATATTAACCTAGAAAATATAAAATCGTAATCGGCAGTTTAGATTGGAAAACAAACATAATATCGGTGGTATTTATTGGAAGTGCCAAAGCGATCACATAATAACCTGGTATTTATTGAGTCTTACGTTTGCCGTTTTATTTTGCCACGGACATTTACTGGTAATACACTAATAAAATTCTTACATTGTAAGGCATTAGGGGGTATTACTCGGTCGGGGCTTTTTGCGAAATCGTCGACGCCGCTGACTTGGTGAATGCCAACAAAACTTTAATTAGAAGAAAGAGGATATAAATGTAGAATTGAATTTGTTTTTTTTTGTAAGGGTGCATTGAATTTATGTTGAAGTTGGTTCCTTTTTTCAATACCATACGGAATGAGTGAATTAGTGTTATTTTGCAAAAACGGAGCTAAAATCTAACGGTCGTAAAGAAAGTATAGAATCGAGTACGTTGATAAACTTCTTGAGTCACTCGTTGATGGAAGATACACCCGAAACGGGTGACTAAGAATATCCATATCCTGAAATCAGTTTAGATTAAATACTAAGCTTCCAATCCCAACTAGTAAATTATATAAACTCTATGTACAACACATGGGTTATTTATTTATTTAATTGCAATCAACAGACTTCACAGTCCAATAACAGATTACAAACACAAATCTTATTTACATTAACCGCACGCTAACGCAAAAAAAAAGAAACTTTCTTTCTACGAAATAAAAAAACACCAGCGCATCCGTGTGAAATTTACAGATAATACTAAATACAGTACTTAAGGTTCTAAATGCTAAATTTTTCAAGTAGTTTTTGAAAGGATTGGTGGAAGTTCAATTAAAAATACCCATTTCGTTTTTGAGACTGTTGTACTACACATTCGAAATAGTGGAGAGTTAAAACCAACTTATGCTACTTAGTAGTGTCGACTGTATGTATTTTATATATAAATAAATCACTAAAACACTGGTATTTCCAATTAACATTATTTAACTTCCGAACATAACTGTCGATACAATAGTAAAAATGAGAATGAAATCATATTATTCCTACAAAAGATATATATTTCGAAAATAGCACAAAAAGTGTTTATATAATCTTGAGCATTTCGCCGGTAGAGAATAAAAACGTCTGGGATGACTGTTCTTGGGTCCGTTACCGTTATCAATTTTTTACACTTGCTATAGAAGAAAAGAACAATCAATTTCATAATCATTTATAACAGAACGTTAATGTAGATTTCTTCCGCCTTGGTTCTAGCGCTTCATAACAAAATTCTTGAAGTAAAGTTTGATATGGTATGTGAAATATGTATATTCTACGTTTTTTGTAGTATAAAAAGCGTAAACATTTCTTCTGATTTTTTTTATTTCCTCAGTATATTTTGGTAACGAGGGGACCAGGTCAACACAGCCAAATATACGTGTTACTAGTGAGTTGTACAAAGTTTCGTAAGTTTTTATTTGTTAAAAATTTGATCCGTTACATATGTCCCTTTCGCTGTGTTATGTATATGTGTTTAGAAGCTTATTTTTGTGTCTAAAGTTTTGCCCAGAGATTTAATTTGCTTTTTTGTGGTTAATATTATGTTATTGAGTCGATAATCATAATTTAATCGATACTTTTTTCATGTAAATAACTTGTTTCATTGGTCCATTCGTGTGGTCTATGCATATACTCTTGGAGTAAAAGACAGTCTTCTAAATCCGTAATAACTCTATAAAATTTAAAGTCGTCTCTGAATAATTCACACTCAGAATTCTGAAGAACATTTGGTATGACACCTGCGGAACGCCTAAACATGGGACAAATTCAAATGACTATAATATTTACCACCACGTACATTATACTTGCCTTTAAGTGCGATGTACATACGTTAAGAATATCGACAGAGACACCAAAAGCATCTAATTTTTTTAGAAGTACGTCGTGATAAACTTTATCAA